AGGAGGAGGAGGAGGAGGAGGAGGAAGAAGAGGAGGAGGAAGAGGTAGCAGTGGCAAGGAAATGATTTCATATCAAGGTATTTTATATTGGAATTTAGTTAAGCAGATGAAATCAGTTTAGACATAATTTACAGTACAATTTCAAAATTCACAGAACCCAGTTGGCCATCTGTCATCTGCTATCCCCAAATCCTACTTTGCAATCTCCAAACCACCCACACCACAAGCTGCCCAAATTTGGTAGCCACATTTTCAGTGACGTAATTTGTTAAAGACTTTTTTTGTTAAACCAAAGGTTGGAACAGATGGGTTATGCCTCAATGGCGTGTTTGTACTCCCATTTCATCTCCTCGCTGGTACCTCCTCGAATCTCTGTCATCTCCCCCAAACGGGCACAAATATTTCCCCCATGATTAAATCCGGTATCTGTGGACGGTTTGCCCAGTAAATAAATGAACTAGAAAGTCATTTGCTGTCTCTAGAAAATATGCCTATTGCAATGGGGGAAGCAGGGAGGAATCCACAATCAAAATATCAGATAAGGTTTCTCCCCCACCCCACAAAAAAAGGCTGAATAGAAAATGGAATTCTTAATTCTTACTGGTTTTAAGTTTCTCTAAATTAAATGGGGGTGTAATTCAGGGTAAGCTGGAAGGATTCATAGTTGAAAAGGCAGTCAGAACGTCAGCTCCTATCAACTTCAGTGTTAAGATTAAACTTTGGCACTGCCAGACATGTATTTCCTAGCTGTTGTATGTCATTACAACACATTCACAATGGCTAAAGAACCAGACTTAAGTATTCCGAGGAGTATTCTGATAATCCTGCTTTCCAGCCTCATTATCAGAGGAATTGCAAAGGTTTTATTTTAAAAATAAATATTTTTTTCCCCCTTCCAGCTTTTAATAGGCAATTACCTTGACTCATGCCAGGGACGTGTTAACGCTATAGAGGAGTGCCAGGTGACACTTTCTCTGCTCTAGATTTTACACTGAGTTACCCTTTTAATTATGATTATCCAGGCTTCCTGTTATTTCTGGCATGGTCATAATGCCACGCTTGCATCATTCCACGTAACCTGCAACATACATTCATTAAACAAACAGGCACTTTTATCTAAAGCTGGTGTTTGCATAATTTTGGTACAAATAAAGAACGTGTGACCAACGAAATGTCTAGGATGATATGTTCTTGGAGGCTGCACATACTGCGAACCACACTCAATATCATTGGTGTGGATTTATGTTAACAAAACCCTAAGGCAAAAAATTATTGGAAAATGATTCAATCATGGTTAGCACAAATGGCGGGAGACCAAATCTTGTTTAAACCAGAAGTTTTTCTCCTAGGTATAATACCGGAGGGGTATAAGAAAGATACACTTTATTTAATTATTCGTGTACTAATTGCGGCGCGCATAACTTATGCACAATATTGGAAAAAAGAAAATGCACCATCAGAGCTAGATATAATCAGAAAAGTGTTGGCCTGCGCGGGAGCAGATAGGCTCACTCTTGAACGTAAAAATAAAGGGGAATCAGAATATTTTGAAGTCTGGAACAGATTTTATGACTGGTATAAGACAAGGTGACAAGACCGGAACAAGCTGTATATACTGTGATTGGACAGAAGGAATGATAATGTATTTAGTAGGCTAATTGTTAATAGTTGTGACTAGCTGTGAATGTATAGTCACTCTGATTTCGCGGCACTGCACTGTTTTAAATGTAAAAATAATAAAAATATATTGGAAAAAAACCCCTCTAAATCTTAATCCCTTCCATAGGAGCCCCAAAACATCTTCATAACAGCATACAGGCTAGTTAATTTACAATTTGAGTTGAATTAGTTAAATAAAGTTAAGGCAGTGTTTCTCAACCTTGGCAACTTGAAGATGTCTGGACTTCAACTCCCAGAATTCCAGACATCTTCAAGTTGCCAAGGTTGAGAAACACTGAGTTAAGGGTTATTTGTGTACAATTCTTTGGAATCTATCAAGGCTGACTCAGTTCCACATATTCAATAGCATGAAAGGGAACACAAGGCCCTTGAGTGTATGGTCAGGCATCATTTGTGCTAGTATGGGACTGGTCCCAAACTGTCCAGACATTGGCCCAAACTCTACTGTTCCTGCTTCTGATTTGAATTTTGATTTGAATACATACATTTAGAGGATAGGATTCGGAGGAATTGTCTAATTCTATTATCCCTGTAGTGCTTTGACTATAATGGCTGTTCGTCCCTCTTGGTTATTAGCTGGATACCCATGCTTTGCTACGAAACCATGCGGTCGGGCCAGCCCACAGGCCGGATGAGTCACACGCTGGCCACACCCATATAGGGTAACTGGCAGTTGGAACAGAGTTCCTTTCGGGTAGGGAGGGGGAGTAGAGTGTCTAACTCCTTAGCATCGACGTGTCTTAATACTGCATTTTCAGCCCCGCAATAATGTGTTTCATGCACATGCTTTGGAAGCAGATGCTTGAAATATCAGTTGCACCAACCTTATTGCCTGCATCAACACCACCAAAACTTCTCTGCCCAGATGAAGGCACTTGGTAAACATCGTGGGCAGTGGGTACTTGGTAGATTCCCTGATTCAGATAAGAAGGTGGAACTTGATAGATGGGATCCCGAGGAGAGGAATGAGCATTTGGTACTTGGTAGACTTTTTGCTGATTAGGAGACTGAGTTGCTAGTCCTGAATTTGGCAAGTCCTGGTGAGATGGGTTCTCTTGTACGGGGCCTACCAGAAGTTTCACACGGTTTCCAGGAACAATGCCTTGTCGTCCATGTAAAGAGCAGAGCCACCATCCTTCCAACCCTTCAGTGTTTTGTTCTATCACAGTCAAAATATCACCTTTCCGGAAGGCCAATTCTTCTGCACACTCTGGGACATTATCGTAAAGGGCTCTTGCCATAAGGTTCTGCAGAGAAAACAGACAAGGGGAAGGAGAATTTCACAGCTAATTAGTTGCATTATCAAATTTAGGATAAATATGTTACATAAATAAAACAACCCGAATACATCTGCCTTTACTTAAAAACATAGTTATTTTGCTAGTTGTGTGGAAATTAAATCTGTAAATTAAATCTTAAGATTACCAGTACTCTCATGAAGGGCATTTCAAATGTTTAATTTCTGATTATTCTGATTTCCAGAATTCACAATTTTAGATTGAAGCACTCACTTATCCTTGCTGAACTACAGGAATTTACAAACTTCAAGAGGGCATGCACTTTGCAAATTGATAGAAGAGAATATTTGCAGATCAGGATTGAACTGTGGGGTCCTTGATGCTGTCTGAGCTAGCACTGATGATGATACCTAGTTTGGTAATGAAACGTTTGCAAAAAAATAAAATAAAAATACCAAGTTCAAAGAATACCAAGGAGGATCCCACAGTTTGAAAGCTCCTGACACCACTTTTCTTGATATAGATTTTTTTTAAGCCACTACATTTGTCTTTTCAACATTCATACAGTAGGATTTTCATTCTTTCCGATCATTTTCACTCTCTTACTAATGTCCCACACTTCTACCCCAAACCCATCTTGAAAAAGCAACCAGCTGAATAACTGTGCAAATACAATTCTTAAATAGCAATCACAACAAAAATGATTCTGGATGCTTTTTTAAAACTAAACCAGAAACCTCCTGGGAAGGCAGGAGAACAACTAAAAACCTGATTTGTTTTTTGAAATCATAGGTAAAATGGTTGTTGTTGTTATGTTGTTCTTATTATAAATCTATTAGCTACTCAATTTCAATGGATTCTTCATGGGGCTTCCAATTCTCCTCCAATCATTCTGAGCCACCAAATCAGAAATGTATAAATGAATTGTTTAGACTGCTGTCCAATCCTTTACTCAGGAGCTAATTTTTTTGTAAGCAAATGCTTTATGTAGTATGTTTTTTCCTGTCAGTTCAGCAGAGCATTCTTAATATCTAAAAGACTATTTTCAATGTTTTAGTATTCATATTCCATCAAAGGTAGCTCCCCGCTAATTTGCAAGATACTGTGGGAAGTTATCATCCAGCCCTCTCCCAGAAAAAAATGAAATATCTTAGGAAATATTGAAAAGGCAGAATGTTTATCTGGATGTGAAAAGAAAGAAGCATGCTTTAAAAGACAGAATAGTTCCCTGTAGCTTCCTGCACATCCACACTTTTGTCAATAGGCCATTGA